TTGGCAATCATGCAGGAGAAGCAGAAGACCAAGAGTCCTATAGGGGCGGGATTCACAGAGAGTGGAGAAGAGTTGAATGAACAAAAGCAAGAGCAATGAAAGGTTTAGGGCAGAGAATCTGCCTTAGTCAGGACTCTATTGAGAAGCAGAAGCAAGAGAATACTAGAGATTCACAGGCCAAGATTGATTTTGAGGAATTGGCTAATGTGATTATGAAAGCTGAGAAGGCTCATAATCTGCCATTTGCAAGATGGAGACCCTGAAGCCAGTGGTTTGATGTCCATCAAAGCCTAAGACCTAAGAACGAGGGGAATGAATGGTGTTAGTGCTAGTCTGAGTCCAAAGGCTCAGGACTGGGAGTGCCAATGTCCAAGCACAAGAGCAAATGGATGTCTTAGCTCAAGGGAGAGAATAAATTTTCCCATTCTCCATCCTTTTGTTCAATTTGGGCCCTTAATAGACTGAAAGATGGCCAGGTATGGGACCATCTTCTCCACTCAGTCTACTGATGCATATGCTTATCTCTGTTACACACATTGCACCAGAAGCAGTGCTCTCCCAGGTGTCTGGGAATCCCTTAGCCCAGTCAAGTTGACACATAAGAGTAGCCATCACAGAAACTATCTAAAAATTATTATTGATTGTGTGATTTTTCAAATTGCAGGTGTTGACCCATTACCAGGTTGTGAAATTAGATTAATTCAGTGGATTTTGAAAAAAATTAATAGAACGGAATCGAAAAAAAAAAAAAATAAGAGTACATGGCACCTAGTAAGGCCTGGGGTTGTTTCACAAGCATTTGCATAGGGTTTGCTTTTGTGCCTGGGTCATGATGTGAAATGTATTTCTCATTGTAGGTGACAAACCAAACAAGGTGGCAAAATTCTGATGCAAGGGAAGCTGTTGTGAACTCACTGTCAAACCATGGGAACTGTTAATCAAATTTGTTACACAGGGAGAGTTTTCTTGAAACAGAAATGACCTAGTGATATGGTCAAGATCAGGAGCCCTTTTTCCTGAGATGTGCCACAGAATAAATGTGCCTGGTATACAATGGCATCAACGATGACCTGCACTTATGGATGCCACTCTAAGACTTTCGTGTCTGACATTTTTAATAACTCCCCTATGAAGAAACTACTGTTGTTATACTTGTTATACAGATGGGGACATGAAGCATAAAGTGTCACAAGCCAGCCATGGGCTGTGTGTGTGAACTATGTGCACTTGAGCGTATGAGAGAACTGGACTGACGTTGCCAACTGATTGGGCTGTGTGACGTACATGTCCTTTTCGCTCACTCTGCCTATGATCCCCACACAGCACTTGAGATGGGTGTGGCTTTCCAAGATGTCAGTCAATCTGCTGACCACAAGACATCACCAAGCAACCCCCTAAAACCCAATCCCTTGCCTTATTTGGGTGGAACTTTCTCGAATGTCTTCTCCCCAGTAAATAGGAGGGTTTCAGGCATGGTCTCTCTCTTTTGCCTGCCTCTCAGGCCTCCTTTGTGGGAGCTGAGGTCACTATACTCCTAAAAAGATATATTCTGTCTCTGTGTGGTTATTTAGTAGCCATCCCAATTCACCTGAAGTGACCCTGACTGATTCAGTTGTGTGTCACGGCAGTAAAGGACATCACTGTCCCAGAGCCACAGAGCTAGGAAAGGTAAAGTACAGCTTGAAATTCAGCATGGCCCCAAGCTTCATGTTTGGAGCACTTCCCATTGACCCCTGCTAAGACTGTAAGCTCTTTGAAGGCAAATTCTATCTGGGATATGTTTGTTGTTTTTAAAATACTTTTCTGTTATCTATTGCTGCATCATCACTACCCAAACTTAATGGCATTAGACAACCTCTTTATTAAGTGCACAGATTTGGGGAAGGAGGGATGAGGAATCTGGACAGGGTGCCAAGGAGGGGACATCTCTTCTTTACAGTGCATGAGGTGTCAGCTGGAAAGACTCCAGGAGCTGGAGGTAACTTGGAGGCAGGTCCCTGAACTAATCAGAAGGCGTCTTCCTCATACACCTGGTGCCTGGGCCGAGTGCTGCCAGGTCTGGGGAACACCTGGAAGGTAAGCATTCCAAGGAAGCCACCCCAAAGCTGCACACCTTTCCCTATCTGGCCCCCAAATATCACATATCGACTCTGCTACCCTTCTGCATTGGTCAGCCCATCCAGATCCTGAGGAGGGGATGCAGTCCTCACCTGCTGATGTTTCAACCCCCTCCCCTACGATACTCTCACTTTGCTTGGTTTCTAACTGGTGCACACAAGCTCCTGTGCCATCAGGCAGCTGGATTTCTTTTGATGTGGGAGAGTGAGGCTTGAGTTCCTTGTGATGCATAGGGCACTTTGTGGTTAATAATCTGCTGTTCATTACAATGATCTGTAGCCTCTATAATAGTAAATGAGCTGGAACCACAGATATATTTACTGCCTTCATTTAGTTGCTAGCATTAGGCTTATTTGAAAGTATTTTCTCTCCACTTGGACTGAATTTCTTTTATCTAAGCTTATCTTCAATGTCAATAAGTCCAGCACTCCCAACAGCTGGAAGTCCAGATATTACACATCTTCCTTCCATTAATCTTCTGTAAGTTGATCTTTACAGCCATCCAGCCCATTCATCACAGAAAGCTGTCCTTTCTCATTTGTATGGTCTTCCATTTAGCTAAACCAAACTCTATTTCTTTATCCAGATGAAAGTTCTTTGTCATTTTAATAGTTCATGGAGTTCTCTCTCAGAGCTGGGAGCAGACTATCAGATGGTCCAGAAAGAACAAATGGGTGCTAATAATGTTCTTTGTTATGCTGCATCCTAACCCATCACTAGGGCTTGTTGGTGACATTTTTTCCAGGAACAATCACCAGGTCTGAGTATCCCCAAAACATTCCAGGTTCTGTAAGAAGACCTGTAATTTGGCAGTCCTCTCATGAATAGAATTAGACACTGTATTTCTCTCGTTTCCCTTATTCTACAAAAGCCAAAGACTGGACTGTATTCACGAACACCATCCCTAATTGATGCCAAGTGCATCAAAAGTCTTTTAAAAAAATCAATGTAATCCATATTATGAGATAGGAAAGGAAAAGGGAGTTAAAAGAGGAAAAGGGAAGGGGGAGAGAGGGGAGAGGGAAATGGGGAGGCAGAGAGAAAAGAGAAAAGATGGTTGTTATGGTTAAAATCTTAAATATTCCCCAAAGGCCCATGTGCTAAAGGATTGGTCCCCAGCCCTGGTGCTTCTGGGAGATGGTAAAACCTTTAGGAGGTGGGGCCTAGTGGGAGGAAGCTAGGTCATTAGGACATGCCCTTTAGGAGGTGGGGCCTAGTGGGAGGAAGCTAGGTCATTAGGACATGCCCTTTAGAAGGAGGGACCTAGTGGGAAGAACTGAGGTCATTAGGACATGCCCTTTAGGAGGTGGAGCCTAGTTGGAGGAAGTGAGGTCAAGCATATGAAGCAGGGTTTATTTAAAAAGGGGTAACACAGACTTCTCCCGCAAGGGAGAAGGGGGCCATAGCTGGCATCATGATATCCCCAGAAGCGAGGTATTCTGCCCTTTTTATATTCCTAGGCTTCCTTTGTTCTCCTGCCTTTTCCCCCTTATCCTTATCCTTCCAGAGGAGTGACTAGGCCCAGGAATGCTCGGTGGGGAGGTCAAAAGTGGGAAACAGGTGGGCTGAAGGGGGAAGGGCAGGATGGAGCAGCCAAGGACACATTAACTACCTTATAGCTCCCTGTATGGAGGGGCAATTCCTGGGACAGGTTATCTTGGAAGCAAGTTGGAGCAAGGGCAGGTTCTTGATAAGGACGGAGGAGGGGCTCTGAAGGAATTAACACTTTAATCCCTCAGGGGACAGTCTCCAACACCCAGACTCACTCAAAATTGGCCTTGATCAATGTGACTCGATTTACCTATCTACACTGACTGCCTGTCTAATTCTGGCTTCAGTGGGAGGAAGTTGGTCATTAGGACATGCCCTTGAGGGGATATTAGTGGTCCTGCCCATCTTCTCTTTTTGCCTCCAGCCCCATGACCACGACCTAGGAACAGCTTCTCACCGTGAGGTTCTGCTTCACCACAGGCCCCAAAGCAAAGGAACCAAGTGCCCATGAACCGAGTCCTCCCCAAGCTGTGAGCCAACACAAATCTTTCCTCTTTTAAATTAGTATTCTAAGTTATTGCCTCAGAGTAACAGAAAGCAGACTGACACAATGTTTCTCTTTAGGAAAAGGTCACCAAAATCCATAAGCACACCAGGGCAGGGGACCATACTTCCCATTTCAGGAATGAGAATGGAACCATCAGAAGAACTGGAGTGTCATTATCAACGCTCAGGATACCAGTCCCAGGGCTTGCCTCCCTAGGCCCTGACCCCCTGCCCCCAGGGAAGGGGAGCAGGGAAGCAGGTTTGAGTCACCCGAGCTAGCTGCTGGGCTTGTGACAGGACATAGAAATGGTGGCCTGGGACAAACCCCTTGGGGAGGATGCTCTATGATGTGTGTGCACTCACAGGAAGCACTGTCTGTACCAACACCAGGTCAGGAAATGATGAGGACCTTATGAGGAAAGCTGAGGCTGTGGGTGAGGATTCCCAGCTCAATCTGTTTACAGTCTGGATGGGCTGATGCGGCACACACAGCCACGGACAGCACTCATCACCCATGCAGAGCAGGTCCTGGGTCTCAGACAGGGGAGACTGCCCTCTGCCTGAGGCTGTCAGGGACAGCTTTGCCAGGCGCAATGCTGGAGCAGGGAGGAGAGGGGCATCAGTCCATTAGCTGAGACCACTCTGGCCATGCAGGGTAGACAGGGAAAGAGGCTTCCCTTCATCCCCTAAGAGATCACTTCCTGAAGTCATACCAATAAGGAACTCCACAGTATTTAAGAATTCCACCAAGCCCTGCCAATAAGCATCTGCACTTCCCTCCCGGTGCCTCTGCAGAGAGAGGAGAGCCATTTTGTCTTAGGTATGCTCTGTTTCTACTGCAACAGGAAGCAGGTAAGAGCCTTTTCTGTCTACTTAGGGTAAGGCTGAGATTGTTTGGGGGGCAGTGATCCCTCTGGGTTTAGGGGGTACGAGCAGTGGGAATACTCTGAGCACCTTTCCAACCTGTCTGGGCCAGGCACTATATGTGCAAATATGCTTCCTGGCAGCATTGATGGACAGACTTCATTCACAACCCAATTTTTTTCCCCGTCGAGAAAACTGAGGCACAGTGATGCCAAGTAACTTTTCCAAAGTCACTCACTAGCAAGAGACAGAATTGAAAGCCAGGCAGGCAGTCTGAGTCTAGAGCCACCATCTTGACTGCCTGTTACCTCTTACTGATGCTTGCAAAGCTGCTCACTGACAGACATGCCTTGACTCTTCCCCTGAAAAAGTTTAAATGCTTTAAGTATCATGTGTCCTGTGTACAGCCTGAGTCTCTTCATTCTAGAAAACTGTTCTTCTGAGGTTCAGTTAAGAATCCATTTCTATCCCACACCTGCACGGGACTTAGAAACAGAATGAGGCCCAGCATTCCAGAATTAATCTCTGCAATGCTTGGGCCCTAGGACTCTGAGCAAACCAGTGGGGAACCCAGCTCTTCTGGTGGGTACCAGACCCTCCAGATCTCACTCCCAGGACTCTTAGGGGCTGCCAGGGACACCTTAGTAGTTTGTAACCTGCACTTGGATTCAGACTGCTGGTGAGAACTGAACTGAATTCCTTTTGGAATTGAAATAAAAATTCTTTTCTGGAAGGATGGGCTTCAGTCAAAGCTGTCAATGGGTCTGGGACACAGTAACAACTGTCACTTCATGGATCAATGTTCTCTAGTTCATGGTCTATCAGGGACCGCAGGCCAGCAACAGTTTTGCATAATTCTTGACAGCCAAATCCTTGACAGTTTTGGACAAAATTAAGGTCCCCACCAAAGCCAAGCAATACAGGTAGATCTCTAAACACGGACCCGGAAAACAGTGAGTGTTCAGTGAACAATTAGTTAATAAATAATGGCCAGATGATATTAAGGAATTGTTCTTAATTTTGCCAAGTGGGAAAAATGATAGTATGATCCTGTTTTGAAAAGAGTCCTATGCCTCTTTGTTGGGGAAGAGAGGAAAAGACAGAAGAATGGAAGGTGTTCCACAGTCTTTGAAGCTGGAGATGAGCACTATTGGCTCATTACTTTTGATTCTTAAAAATTCCATAAGAAAATCAAAACTGCTCTTCATACCCAGATGCAAATGACTGAACCAAGTGTTATTTTTCCTAAGAAGCCCATTTTTGCGGGTTCAGATAGAATAGCATGTGGAATTGCCTGTCCTAGTCCCCCAATCTTGACCCGTCCCTTGATGTCCAGGGCCAGGAAAACAGGTAGAATACATTGGCTCTCAAAGGGCTCACGACCCCGGCGCTCTCCTCTCAGCTTGCCTCTCCTTAGCCCTGCCTCTTGGGCACTCAACCTTCCAGGTCTCAGTTTTGTTGTTCTTAGAATGGTTGGCTCCTCTGAAGCAGAGGTATGCAGGCGTCCCAAGAGGAGGTAGGTGGGAGGCCTCTCCGAGCTGGGCAGGTGAGCCTGGGATTCTAGCATTTTCATGAGATTGCTCGCGGACGCTTGGGTGGGTGGAGACGATCACGATTAAGAAGGAACACACATACACGCACACACGCACATACCCACACGCACACACGCACAACCCTCCCTTCTTCCTTCCAGTCCTCTTCCTTTCACCCCGCCCTCTGGGGGGCGGTGCCCTGGTCCCTGGGGAGGTTCCCTGGCTGGGGGCTCCGGAGGATTGCGCCTAGCCGGGTGGCGGGTTGCCTGAGGAGGATTTGGGCTCCGGCTGCTGCAGCCTGGTGGCCAGCACCGCGGGGCCCCTCCTCTGCGCCGCCCTCGCCACTGCCACCGCCGCCACCGCCTCCTCCTCTCACTCCTCCTCTTCCTCGTCCTCCCCATCCTCCTCCTGGTCCCCAGCAGCCGCGGCTCGGGGAGCATCCGGCAGCGCAGCGGGCGCGCACCCTTTGTCTCTGGCCGCCGTGCGCGGGGCCCAGCGCAGGCGTAAGTGATGGGTGGCCGGGTCGCAGGGGGCTCGGCGGGGAGCGGGCCGGGGTCTCGGGCGCTCCCTGCAGGGGATGCTGGGCGGGCTCTATCCTCCGGATTCGCGCCACTTGGGGTGCCGGGCGGTGGCGGCGCGCGGGGGCATGGGGCGCGCGGAGGGGCGCGCGGAGGGGCGCGGAGCCGGGAGCTGCGGCCAGCCGGGCCGCGGAGGGGCTGCAGGCTGGCAGGGCGCTGCAGCCGCGCATCCGCGGACGTGCGGCTTGGGTGCAAATCCTGTTTCTCTGGGCGCAGGCCACGCGGGGACGGAGGAGGCAGAGAGGACGGGCAGTCATGGAGAAACGGGAGAGAGGAGCCGGCCGAGCGTCACCGCTACCACCATCACCATCACCACCATCACCACCATCCCTGACCGCCGCCCATCCCACCCCCAGCCTCATCGTCCATCTCATCTCCCGTGCAATGCCAACTTATCAGACACTGTCCTTGTCATCGGGTAATACTCTGAAAAAAAATTATGGAGTGAGCCAAATTAGGAATAAGTACCTCTGCCGTGCGCCATTCATCTTGGGGTTGCCACTTACCTACCTCAGTTTTCCCATCAGGAAAAGGGACACTGCGAGGCTTCATCCCTCAGTCAGACTGAGGAGGTTTGGTGGCTTTCAGATTTTCTAAGGCTGGCGCTAGAAGAGACCTAGATGTAACAACTCTATTGGTAATAATGATGAATATGATGGTAATGTCCTCATTAGATTAGATAATTGGGAGTTTAAAAACTTTCTCTCTGATCTTTGGGTGTCAAAATACCAATAGTAAATCAAAAATAAGAAAAGTCAAACTTCCACTACACTATTGCTCAATAGAAGCAAAAAGATTCTTTTGTAGGAAAACCATTCCAGAAAACTAAGGGCAGTAACTTTGATCTAATGTGTGGACAACGCTGTTTAGTGCCAAGTGATTGTGTGGTGCTCATTATTTTGGATGCGTACAGTGTCCCTGGGTGTTTTTCACCCTACCTGGAAAATGTTTTGATTACTGCATTTCAAAACTGGCTTTCACCCTTCGAAGGGACTGCTGACCAGTCATATCCACAGAGATTTCAAGAATGTTAGGAAGTCCTGTCATGGGAACCTTCTTTAGAAAAGCAAAACACAGAAAACAACCTTCTAAACCCACCACCTTTCTCTAGAAAATGAACCCTGAATTTCCATGTTTTATGTTTTGTTCTAAGAAAGACTACTAGACCATTCTGAATTTCTTGACAAGATGGAAATTTTTTCTTCCCCCCCAATCACCATATCATGTCTCCTCATTAATAGGACTGTAAAGGCCCACATGGCATAGTTTGCCTTGTGTCTTTATTTCTTCAGTGCAGAAAACAATAAGTGATATTATTAAAAATAGTGTGGACCCAGCTGAGCTGCAGTTGTCATTACCATAGTTTAAGATCTCAGATGTTGAAGTATAATTACACATCATTAACTCAAACCTCCCTAATTTGTGAAGCAGGATTTTAAAATAGTGTATGTAATTTTGTGGAAAATGACTTTGAAGTAATTTCTTTTCCTAAAAATATTTCAGGGCCTCAAGTTTAAGTAAGGAGTAGTCAATCTAAAATAATCACATTTCAGACACAGATTCAAATAATAACTTCACTATGTTTTAAATTCCAGATCTTTTATTTAGCACCTTAAGAAAGCTTTATGTCTTTGATTGTATATTAGTTCATCCTGGCTGGAGTTGCTATAATAAAATCATAGGGTGATTTACAGACTATAGAAACATGTTGCTCACAGTTCTAGAGTCCAAGATGGCAGTGTCTGGTGAGGGCTTGTCTACTTTGTAGATGGCACCTTCTCAGTGTCTTCACATGGCACCATGGACAAGAGGCTTCCTTGGGCCTCTAATTTTTGAGACAGAGTCTCCCTTTGTTGTTCAGGTTGATCTCAAACTCATCATCCTCCTGCCTCTGCTTCCTGAGTAATTGTTACTACAGAGGCATGACTTCTGGCTATGGGCCTCCTTTATAAGGGTGCTAATCCCATTCTTGAAGGTGAGCTGTCATGACATAATTCCTTTCTAAACACCCACCTCTTAATCCTACTGCAGGGGGGAAAGGGCTAAAATAGAATTTTGGAGGCACACAAACATTCAGACCATAGCAAGTTGTCATTGAGTTTTGTTGTTTTTTTATATAAGAATTGGACCCAGGGGCACTTAATCACTGAGCCACATCCCCAACCCTTTCTGAAATATTTAGAGACAAGGTCTCACTGAGTTGCTCAGAACCTCACTAAGTTGCTAAGGCTGGCTTTGAACTTGCAATCCTCCTGCCTCAGCCTCCTAGGTCACTGGGATTACAGGCATGTGCCACCCTGCCTGGCTATTGAGTTCTATTATTATTATGTCCCACATGAATGATTTTAGCCCATGTTATTTTTAATATCTCCATATAAATTATACTATAATTTAAAATTATTCATTCATTTTGGCTTGTTTTATTTTTTGGTAGTGCTGGGAATCAAACCCACGGCCTCATACATGCTGTACCATGGAGCTAATCTTCCATCCTTCATTTGATTTTATTGAGGTATTAGTTACATACACAAAATGCATAATTCTTCACGTACAGCTTGAATAATTTTCACCTGTGTATATATCCTCCTATAACCTCCAAGCACAAAAGGGGCAGAATATTTCCATCATTCTAGAATATTCCTTAATGAGCCTTCCCTGTTAGTATCCTTCAGACATAACCACTACTTTACTTCTATTAACATATAAATTTTTAAAAATAATTTCTAAATAGTCTTTTACATTTTGACCCATTAAGTTAGTTGGCCTCATCCTTCAGCGTTTCTGACTGAGTCCTCTCCTGGGGCGGTAACTGCAGACGTGAACTTGTCCTGGGTACTTACGTGGCACTAATTAAACAAGCAAGGGCGAAACCTTGCGCGGATGCGGAGGGTCTGAGGAACGAGGGAGGCCTTAGCTAAACCAGTTTGGTTTTGTTTGATGGGATAACTAGAAGACTTATGGAATTTTTAAGATTGGAAAATGAAAAATGGGTAGACGTTAGCCAGATAAAACATGGGTTAAGAGGAGAAGCGTAGCACTACTCCAGGTGGAACATCTTGAATCATGGCTCAGAAATAAAAACAAGTTGAGGATGCTCCGTGTGGGGGCGCAGAGGACTGCGGCAGGAGGAGGGACCATCACAAAGACCCACGGCCCTGCTGAGGGGCGGGGCTGTGCTCTAAGAGCGAGGGGACTGACATGGTGGGCATGGGCGAGAGAGAGCCCAGCACTGGCTGGATGCTGGTGGACCAGGGTTGCAGGAGGACCTGCGTGGAGGTTGTATGGGTGTGCAGATGATGGACGGGCACCTTGCCTAGGCGTAGCAATGGGAATGGAGTGAAGATTTAGAAGGCAAAATGAACAAATCTCTGAGGGGCAGGTTCAAGGTCTTTCTTCGGTCTTACGAGATGGATGGATGATAACTTTGGAAATATGGAGGAAGAATCAGATGGATATTATTTGATTTTTTTAATTTTTAAATTTTTTAAAAATTGCTGATAATTGTGTATAACAAGGGAGTGCAGTGTGATAATTCAGTCAATTAATATATTGTTCAATGATCACGATGATTAGATATTTGCTTTGGGAGCATTTGAGTTCCTCTCCTCTAGCTTTTCATAAATTTCTAAGGGAGTGTCATGAAGTAGAGTCATCCTGCTGTGCTAGCAAACACTAGAATTTATTCCTCTTATTTAACTGCAGTTTGGTCCCCCTTCTGCAGCCTCCCTTCCTTTTCTCTGATCCATCCCTCTGTGAAGACATTTTGGTCACCAGCGAGCATATGGAACACTTAGGTAGAAACATCTAATAGGAAGTCGGAACAAATGTTGGTTGTGCATGTTCCACATGCCAGGCATGCTCTGTCCTTTGGAATGCAGTCAGGAAGAAGACCATAAACCCTGCCATAGTGAATCGCACAGCCAGTAGCCACAGTCTAGGGAATCACCAGGTTAAATTGAAAAGTGAAGGCTTCAGTGAATGAGATGGCTCAGTTAGATTTCAGTGAAAGCAGTGGCCTAGGACAAGATCCCAAGGAGCCCCAAGAGATAAGAAGGAACTGAGACTGGTTAACAGGGACAGCAAGAGAGGCTGGGCTTCAGAGGTGGAGGGAGAGGTCCCTAGTGTCACACACAGCTGAGAAGTTAAAGAAACTGAGGTCTAGAGATGATCTATTGTGATGCTTTTCAAAGTGGGTTCTCCAGACCAGCAGTAGCAGCATCAACCCTGGAACTTGTTAGAAACTAGCAAACTCTTTAGCTCCACCCCAGGCTAACTTCATCTGAAACTCTGGGGGTGGGACCCAGCAATCTGTGTTGTAACAGTCCTTCTAGGGAATTTTGATACACTCTAGAGTTTGAAAATCACAGCTCCATTGCATTAACTGATAAATAAGTAATTGGTGACTGGGAAATTTGGTGAATGTATTTTCGTAGAGGTTAAACCCAGTTTGAGAATTTAAAAAAAAAATCTTCAGCAGGAATGTTAAAGCTTTTTAGTTTTTCAGTTTTGATTTAAGAAATTTCAAATGTTTTACTTTCTTTTGCATGGTTGGCTTTCTTTTTCTTCTATTTTACCAGCTATTTGATCATTGATTCATATTTGTTTCACTCTATTCTGACTTTTGAAGTTTTTTTTTTTTTTTTTCTTATCTACTTTGAAACACAGGGTCTCAACACAGGGCACCTGCATCATTGATCTGGTTCACCACCCTTGACTCTGAAATTGAGGAACTGAAATACCAAAACAGAGAGCAATCATGAAGATAAGTGAATCTCAGCCACCTGAAAAAACACCCAGATAGTTAAGTTAGCTCTTCCAAAAAGTTGTAAGACTCTATTAGAGATAGATTTCTAATAATTTGAAAATTCGTTATTCATGAGAAATAATTGGAAGTGTGCCCTTTTCATCTCAAGTGATCCAACAAGGTAACCACAATTATTGTATTTCTGATGTACTTATGAAGGAAAAGACTCGTATTAACTAGGTCTTTTCCTGATCCTTTTGTTGATGGCCTCCCTATATCTTCTTGCAGTTGATAGGAAGAATTAGAGCATATTGCTTTGTTTTGCTATCACCATGGGAAAATAAATGGTAATTGAAGAGAAACTGATAACACATATTACTTCTATTGCTATCCATGCTCAAAATGAAAACTTGGCTGTTTATAAGAATAAAATCTGGTAGGCAGTCCAGCACACTCTCTAGCAACACACACAAAGAAGGTCCCCAAAGGTTGAGTGAATAGATGGAGGGATGGGAGGGAGGGTGCATGGATGGATGGGTACATGAATGGACAAAGAATGGATGGATAGATTAATGAGTGGGTGGATGTATGGATGAGGAGATAAAAGGATAGATGTGAATATAGGTATGGAAGGGCACATGAAAGAATGGATAGGTGGGTGAATGAATGGATGGATGAGTAGGTGGAGGAATCAGTGCATAAGGGGGTGGATGTCTGGATGGGTAAATAGATGGTTGTTGGAAGAGTGGATAAAAAGATGGTGTTAGAGAGTTCTGCCTAAAGAGGGAAAGGCAGTGTTTTGTTTTGTTTTAAATATATTGTTTCTCTTGAGTAGGGTAAAGTGAACTGAGCTGAAAATTTAAAGGTTTTAGAGATGCTACCACTCATTTCTAATGTTATCCTATATAAATTCTCTAGCATCTCTTACTCCTCCTGTTAGTTTTGAGATCAGGACCAAATAGTATAATGACCATAAGCATGTTGTTGAAACTGCAAAGTGTCATCAGAATGTAAAGACTGTTTGTTATGTGTGGTTAGATAATGAAGTATAGTTTGGGGGTGCTTTTTCTCTTCTTTGGGGATTACCAGAATGTCAAATCTGCCATTTATTGATTAAAGCAAGATGAAAATATACAGAGTTAAATTTGATACAAAGAGAAATACTAGACAAATTATAGCACAGGTGAGAGTTAACTCTCTATGGCAAAAGTTGTGAAGGCAGTGGACACCAATATGGCTAACTTCTGGTCACCTCAAGCTTAATGTAGCCAAGAGTGAGGTGCATAAATGTAACCTGAAGTTAATTGCTACTGAGAATATATCATGAGAAATTTGTTTTATAAGCCAAGGACAAGCTAGGGGCACACTATTTCCACTGACCTGCACGTGCTACCAGCCCTCGAGATGGGCCAGCTGGTGTCTTCACTGACGGGAGAGTGCTGTCACAGCATTGTCTGTGCAAGCCGATTCTCTTAAATAGGTATTGGTATTGCCACTTTTATGGATGAAGAAGGAGGAGAAGTACTCCCTGTTGAGACCTGCTGTGGTCTGGATGTGGTTTGTCTCCCAAGGATTCATATGCTACAAGCTTAATCTCCACTATGGGATGTTAGGAAGTGATGGGACCCGTAAGAGGAGGGTCCTAGTAGGAGGCTATGAAACCAGCTCCTTCCCTCTCTCTGGCTGCCTGTGTTGCCCTGAGATCTTTTCCTATCATACACACCATTGTGGTACCATCCACCATGAGGTCCTCACCAGAATCAACCTAATGCTGGCCCCATACTCTTGAATCTTCAGAACTGTGAGCTAACCAAACCTCTTTTCTCCATAAAGTATCCAGTCTCAGGTATTTTGTTATCTTAACATAAAATAGACTAACAGGAAACCACAGAACAGGGAACTCAATTCAGATGTTTTGGCAAGTTAAGTTTTCTTTTCACCTGAGAATGTCTCAGTAATAAAGCTTTCAGTAAATTATGGATCATAGCCCAGAAGTGTCAGCCTGTGAATCTTGTTTATGTGTTGATTCTTTTGAAGAAACTTCAAATAGGTGGAAATGGGATCATAACTTGTTGACAGCAAATAGCACACAATGCAAACAATACTCAAAAAACAGTGTGCTCCCCACCCCAAGTGCCACTGATTCTGGCACAAGTGTGGGAGCCTCCTACTCAAACTTGAGTTGCATATTAAAGCAAATTTGAACATTGAGCTAGCACCTCTGGGTTGCATTCATGGGGTATATCCTTCCATTGGGGGCATCAAAAGTATAAAGGCATGAAGCTTTTTAGCAAAGAAAGGGTTGACATTTTCAGGAGTGTCATCTATAGTAAGTCCCTGTAAAACTTACTCTTCTAGCTAATTCACAGGAAGAAAACAGATGCATTCAATTATAATCAATTTATTCATACTTCTTACAAGCATCTGTGGAATGCTATGACACTCAAGAAGCCATATAGAAATAAGGAAGTTTGGTCTCAATAACCCTTTTTCTTTATGTCCACTTAATTTTTTACAAAAAAAAAAAGCAAAAGAATTGAGATGAAAATTAGTTAATAAAGAAATAGGATTTTTGAAACTGTAGGAATATTAACGAGAGTACCCTTTTGACTTTCATGTTCATTATCAGCTTCAAACACTCAATTCTGTTTCAAAATTGCTTCTCTGCTCTGGGGATTTGGTAAGAATTTCTTTGCTAATGTCACAGAGGTCTTCAAGAAGCCTGATGCTAGGAATTTTGTTTGGGATTTGACAACTGACTGTATTTCCTAAGACAGAAGGCCTCGTGATTGCTGTCCAAACCAGGTCACAACACTTTCTGTGGAAGACTGTCTCCAGTCTAGATGACTAGTTCAAGGAAAGTGCATGAACTTGGAAACAGGACACCTGAGTTCTAGAAAAATCATATTCTCGAGTGCACAGAGTACCGGTTTGCATCTGAAGCTTGGTGAGGCCATTCAATATGCTGATTGACTCAGATTATTTTCCCCTCTGTGCCTCAGTTTCCTCATCTATAAATTGGAGGTTATAATAGAGACTTGTAGGGACATTGCAGGGGTCGACTAACACTTAAATGGAAGAATTCCCATATATCAGGAACCATATTAGACATTTCTTTACATTTCATTAAACATTTTCATTATTTCACTTGATCCTTACAATACTCTATGAAGGAAGCATGATGCTTAGCCCCAATTTGCAGATGAGGTTATGTGCTGTACTGTCAGTGTCTAGAACAAGCAGACCCTCAGCAAATTCAGGATCCACAGGTCTAGTCTTTCCAGACAGTCAGCTGTCTGTGTGCTCAGCTTCCGCGGGCTTCCGTCTCCTCATGAAGTGGTGAAGGCAGTGGATCCTGCCCTACCATTGGGCAGTAGGTTCATGGGGGACATTCACATGAAATTTTGTCTATGAAAGCATTTCATGATGGGGACCTGCTCTAGCCATGTGTATAGCCATGGTATACCAGGTTGGTGAGGCCACTGATTGCACAGTTGGAAACCAGGCATGGGGCCCTGCACTGAGGGCCCGACAAGAAGGCAGAGACACCCATAGAAAGGGTCTTTCTGTGCTTCTCTCTCTGGTCTCAGATCCACATCTGGTGCTCGGGCTCCTCACCAGCTGAAACTTTGAATGACTCTGTTAAGCAAGAGCTTTGCATTCCAGGGGAGGAGGAGAGCCAAGATGGGGACAAGAAAGAACGTTGTCTTTGATGAGCGATTGGCTGCTTAGTGACGACTGTTTCTCTCTTTGGATGCTCAAGTGTGGAGCATATTTCTTGAAAGGATTCTTCCATCTGCATTTCTGCTTCCTGCCAAGTGGCCACTGGGCTGGGTGACTGGCTGCACTTCCTCGTTACTCTTTCCATGTTCTAATCACAAGCAGAGTAGGAGGTGCCACGGGGATGCCTTTCAGGTTGGGCTCAGATCCTAGTGGTGGCAGGGAGCATTTTTTCATTGGGCAATTATTGGACAGAGTGGAAAAGAGGAAGAACCCTGTCTTTCTGGGATTCAGGAATGAGGATCAGAAGGGATTAGTGGAGAGATGAGATCACACTCTTGTGACCAATGGCTTCAGTCTCTCCCTTTCTTCAGGAAGGAGAAGAGAAGAGAAAGGGCACCTGGTTGATCTGGGCTGTGGTTGTGTCTGTGTTCAACACACTGGGGGACAGGTACATTCCTGTTAATCTGAGCCTGGGTTCCACGAGTCCTGATTGGAGTCTGCTCCAAGTTGTACTGTGAGAACTTTTGCCTTTTAGAGCAAAAGCTGTCAACACTGCCTGGGTTTCTTACATGTAGCTCAGAACAAAAAAAAAAAAAAAAATGTAACCATTGGTAGGAGAAAGTTTATTACTTATGTGATGTTCTCCATGTGATTTATGACAGAACTAAAATCGAGCTTGAAATGAAAATGGATCAAAATTAAAACAATTCACCTTATCCATGGTGAGTCAAACAAATTTTCATTTGTGCACTTGCTAATTTTTCTTCTGTGCTATATCCAAGGAATGAAATGAATATAAGACAAGTTGGGGGGGCTTGGGGTGTGGCTTAGTGGTTGAGCACTTGCCTAGCCTACAAGAGGCCCTGGGTTTTGTTACCAGTGCTACAATTAAAAGTGAAAAAGCAAAACAGTTTCAAACATTTTACCTTGACCTTCAAATGCAAGGACATGCAGTGAAAGTCCATGGGACACTTAAGCGCACAGAAACCTTGGTCTCCACCTCAGCAGGTTTAACTAACAAAGCCAACTTGACAGGCAGAAAACTTTCTAGAATATTCTGCCTGGTGCAGTTTACAAGAGATAACATGGAGGGTTGAAAAGAACATTGGACAGGAGAGAGGAGCCTTGGTGTTGGTTCTACCTACACATCTAACATCTGCAGGTCACTTCATCTTTCTGGGTCTTGGTTTCCTCTTTTGTGAAACAGGAGTGTAGGGTCCGTGAATTCGGAGGTGTCTCCCTGCTGTGCGATCCTCTGACTCCACAGTTCCATTCCTTCCTGTGCCCGTCTCTGTCTCCTTTCTGCTACTTCCTGAACTCAACATCCGTTAGCTGTGTGCCGTTGCCATAATTACCCAATCACGGAACACCACATGGTGGAAACTAAAGTCACTCCTATTTATGTTAAACTGTTTCATTATTTTGGAGGGAAGGCGGGAGAAAGCTCCAGGCATGAAGCTCTGATTACAGTAATATAGTACATTAGATTACAGTTCTCTTTTGCCCTATTTCATTGATGATGTAGCCCTGGAAATCCAAGCCAAGAGTTTTCTTTCTATGCTAACATTGCTGATATTCCACACATCCCACGAGAGAGCAGCACTTCTGAATCAACAAGGTGGAAAGAGTGTGAGCCTCAATGTACA